GATAATATAGCCAAAGCATATCAATGAAGTAAAGTAGTCATAGGCTTCGTGTACACACTTGTATAAATAAAAAGAAAATTGGTGAGGAAACACACAAAAAATTTAAAATTACCCCTAAAGGGAGGGAAGTTCAAAATTACTAGGACCTAATTGTCGAAAATGCAAATAGTCAGTTTAACAAGCAAAGTCAAAAAATGGTGGTCCCCCGCTTTCGGTGTCTTAGCGATTGGGGTGCAATTGGTTATGTCATATTGTAACTATGACGCCTCAATCATCATTTCAGAATTTTATTTCAGATGACATTAAGATGATATTACGATAAAAGCTACAAAACAAGAACAAAACAAGACTGAATACACATCACCGACATTGACACTGAAATTTGCAAGTTTAAAGTTAAATTTACACAAAGAAATATTTCATAACTGAATTTATATAAATAAAATGTACATTAAATTGATTTAGCATTATAAACTCACTCTATCGTGGCTCTAAAGTCTTAAAACATGATGGTAAAACGGTGGTGCGGCAGAGGCGCCAGTTGAGTTGTTGAAAGCACGAGAAACACTGAATAGTAACACAAGTAGTATACGGATATAAACGGTAGAGTAAAACAGTTCACACGGACAAATACAGAATAACACAGAACAGTTTACGAACATATATACATATAAGCCGTGTAACGGCACAGTAACTGTGTTTTGGGGTGCAGTCTTGTCTAACCATCATACAAAAAAGATATAAAATTTTGAATGAATAAAAAGTTACGGCAAAGATCAAAGCTTCTCAAACCTGCATCAAACTTCAAGATGAAGGTTATGAGATCAAATATCATAATACACATGACCGTAGGAATAAGTATGTAGAATACTATAGAAAACATACCTGTAGCTACTACATGTTTGTGTCCCCTCAATAATAACGTCTGATGACCTTTTTTTGGCTTGTCAAGGAATTTTTGGTAGTTGATAGTTCCTCCCCAAACTGAAATTGCTTCCTACGGGCATGATACAATCCAAAAGGTCTAGACTTGTTACAAGTAATGCACATTTGAAAAAAAAAATATGAAAACTGTCTCTCTTCTGGAGCAAAAGAAATGGCCAAATTTAAATATTAGTATGACAAACTTCTAGGTCAAGCCATGATTTAAAAAAAAAAATGATAGGTGTTGTCTTAAGTAATGTACTTGTAAAATATATAAAAGCCCTATCTTCTCCCATTAAAATATTATTACCAATGTAAAAAACAAAACTTTGAAAAGACTGTAGTTTAAACTAGAAGGCCAAGGCCACAATGTCAAAAACCAGAGTTCATTTGGAAAGGTCTTGAAATAGGTAATACCAATGTCAAATATAAAAGATAAAAAGTTATCAGCAATGTTATTTTTTTTGAAAATTAGGTCAAACGTCAAGATCAAGGCGTAATAAATCATACCAAATTCGGAAACGTCTTGTCGCAGGTAATGCACATGTCAAATATGAAAGCCCCATCTTTTCTCATTCAAAAGTTATAACCAATGTTATAATTCCTGAAAGTAGGTCAAACTTCAAGGTCAAGGATACGGAGTCAAAAATCATAGTATATTTAGAAAAGGTCTTGTCACAGGTAATGTACATGTGAAATATGACAACCTTATCTTTTCTCATTCAAAAGTTATGACAAAGGTTAAAGTTTTCCTGACAAACTAACAGACTGACAGATGAATGAGATTAAACGTACCCCTGATCTCGCTAAAGGCTGGTAACAAAATATGAGTACATGCAAAATTCTACATTCAAACTTCAAAAATAAATACTGTGTGTATGTTTACAGGTCTTCCATCCTGTTTTGGTAAATGCGGAGTTGATGGAGGGGGGCTCGTTTTTGCCTATAACAGCTCCACACTTCGGCTATGGGCAAATTCTAATGGTAATATAAAGTGATGTAAACAAGATCATTATAATTTTGATATGCTTCGATATGCTTGTATTTATCTATTTATTTTTTATTTTCAAATTCAATATTACAGGTAAAATTATCAGCACTGTTGGTTGGGGAAAGACGACATCTGCCTTCACTTCAAGCTCAGTCCAAGTGCGTATCCTGACATGGCATTTCCAGACAGACCCACAAAAGTGCCTTCTGAAGTTTACGTCAAATATTATTCTTAGCTCTAACACCAGTTTAATTCCTCCGAACCTGAATTTTCCATACACAGAGTATAGTTTGGTACTTGTAAAGGTATCATATTCATATACCTTGTTTTAAAAATATTAAATGATATAAAATAAGACAATCAGTTGTAGATGTAGATACTTTCTCAGGCTACAGGGCTTGAGCTAGGTATTTTTCTCCCCTACATTCACAGAATACGTTTACACTTTAGGTACGAGCTCAGGAGGGTGTAAATAAGGGGTTGACCTTTTATGGGAGTGGGTCCGTAGTGTTGTCTGGAACGCATGGTGGTGGATTTGTGTTCGGCTATACAGTTGATGAGGTGGTGACCTGGGTTTTAGACCCAAATCGTGCACTAAAGAGTCTGCCAGTGTTTAGGATCGTGCATCCATGGGGAAACGGGAAATGGTATCAGACATCCAACCATGTTGAAATAGAAATCAACGTTTTTCCCCATCATGGTACAATATCATTTCATACGAAAATTGAAGATCAATCCATTTTCAATTAAGAAATGACGTTTATTAGAAATACTTCATAATCTGTTACGTCCATTTTTTAGAAACAAATGTTACAGTTTGCGGTAACCCGCATTGTGAGGAGGGAAATAGTTCTCTTGTTTCCCAGAACCTTACTTCCGTTGAGTATAAATGCCATCCTGGATACATGCACCATTCCGGAGATCTTGTTAAGTACTGTAACTACAATAAATGGGAAGGAGAAACAAAACAACCCGTACAGTGTTTAGGTAAGACAGAAATCTAGGAAAGATCAAATTCAAATATGGTAAAGCTGAGACAATTCTTCTTCATGATTTCTTTTTCTATCAAGAATACCGACAGTCTCGCTTGAAGTCATCATTTCGCAAGTTTTATTGTCGATACAATGACCTTTTCAGCAAAATCAAACTATCCTTAAGTCAAAAAAGGAGTTCTCTCAGTGGAAGTTACTCATAAATAATTAATTTTATCAGTATTAACATATATGTTTAACTGAAAATAAATCACACATTTAAAAATTTTGTTTCAATTTTTATATTAAATATAATGGCTATTAATGTAATATGGTAGTTTACACTTGGTTTTGAACAATCTGTAATATCTATCCCAGCACTATACGCTATTTACGTCAACATCATTTACAGCATCAACACCTAACCCATTATCTACATCATCATCTAAAACATATTCAATATTAATCAACAGCAGCAACAACACCAACAGCTGTATCTACAACATTGCCTGTATTTTCATCGACTCTTGCATCTACAAAATTGTCTTCAACACCTGAATCATTGTCAACTTCTGCACTGCAAACATTGGAATCAATAACAAATTCGCTCGAACAGTGTCGTGTAGAGGGAACCCATGTAAATTATTCGTGCAATACCGGCTCACAATGGACGGTACCTGTGTCTGAATCCTTGACTTGCCAGTGTCACTTAGGATATCATTTAAAATATGGAGACCTAAAGAGAACCTGTTTACAGGCGGGGAGGTGGAGCGGAAGTGAACCTGTGTGTATCGGTATGTACCAGAATATTACTCTCTCTCTCTGTATACAAATGTTATGTGAGAATTTTAAACAGTATTTATTCAAAATAATGAATAGCTTGGGCAACAGGCAATGCCTATAAATACCCTCTCTATAACATGTTATGTGAGGGTGTATGTGTGGGTGGTTTTCCCTTTCATAATTTTCTAATGACTGGCCAGTTAGTTCAAACTTGATAAATAACATTTTTGAGATTAAGTAAAAAGTTTATTTGTTTATTCTTTTGTAAGACTGAACAAATATGATGTGTGTTTGGAAAATGTATACAAGTAAGTGGAAAACTTTAAGACCGAATCAAGGTTGTAAAGGGGTGGGGAAAAGTCAATTATATCTATATCCCTCATACAAGAAAACAAGCTACATTTATTCTTTGATTTCTAAAGATTTTCTGTCCTCATTAGGCCACAAAGATCCATATCCAAATGTTGGTAAACATGTTAGTTAAAATAATCTATGTCACGGGACAAGCCCTCACCACAGTTAGAATATGCGGCCCCATAAAGTTGCAATGTAGCAAATCGGTGCGAATCTGCTCCGAAATGATTTTGAAGAATACAAAAGAAGTTGCACTGAAAATAACTTCCAAATGAAATCAATCATAAGAAACCTTTCTGAACTTGTATATGCCTTTTAACCTAAAAAAAAAAATAACCCACTGAAAGAAAATAGCATTTACAGCCATCGCCCGTAACAGCATACCCGCTTGTCAATAATCTCTATACGATTATGGTTAATATTTTATCAAACAGTTCTCAGAACTTTTCAAATGCCCCTCGTACATGTTTTGATGCTATTTTGGACCACTATGAAAATTCAACTGATTTTCTCAAAGTTTTTCTCGCTCAGATGTTGACATTCGGAACTTTCTGGATTGTTTATAGTAAATGCACTGAGTTGGCACTATTGCCAACACACGGAACGAATTCTATCGTTAAACTGGGTCCTTAGGACAATATCACTTTAACGATAAACGTTTTATCTAGAAATAATGTATGATATTCCAATATTTGCAGCCTCTGGGAGCTGCATGTGCCCATGTGACAAAGTGACCAACCCTAAATATACAGCTCCTAATGACAAGGCTCTGTTGAAGGAAATTCAGAAAATAAGACAGGAGCTGATAATTCTGAAAAACATGACTAACAAAGCCTTGCGAAAAAAGATATCTGTCCCTGACTTCCGGCCCAGTGCCACCGTTTCCGGAACTCCGTGGGTGTTGCTTCTGGTTGCTATGGTTTTGTGGATTGTTGTTCCGGATATATGGACAGTAATTCAACAACTGAAGATTCTTTTCTTTCAGTCGAGGATTTAATTTTAATGTATCTGTTTACATATGTTTTAGTTGATCATTTCACTTATTACAATTTCTTAAATCAAAAATTTGTTTAACTGTGGTAATAATCATCAAGTTTGTTATTAAGTATATGTATCTGGCTGTATGCAATTTTCTGTTAATATTCTGTGTCTTAATTGGGACATAATTTGTCTACAGTAAATTTCATGAGTCACTGCATGCAACACATGTTAAAATACTAGTAGTTAAATACTAACAGTCCTCGACTAAAGATACAGTTGTTGATGTTGCTTCATAAGAAAAATTTGGCGTTTTACTGTTTTAGTGCAATGAATTAAATATTGTACAAAACTAGTTGATGTTTATTTCATTTTTTGTAAGGATAACGTCCTACTGCAGTTTCACAAGTTCAAGTTGTGTTTTGAAAACGTGAGCTTCATTGTCGTGACAAAGGCTCACAAACGATGCGTTTATGCAAGGCAGAATTCTATCGCCTCAAATTTACACGCTGAACAGCCATCTGAGAATCAACGCACTCGATGCAATGGGAACTCATCGCTGTTGCTGTAATTCTTCATCAAGTTCACAAAGTTGTTTCAGGAAGCCATCGTTTGGGAAAATTTCTCTTTTGTCTCGCACCTGTTTGACGGCATCCATTACCGTCATCCCCTTCTTTATCATGAGATACGCCAGCACTATTGACCCAGAACGACTCATTCCACTCTGACAATGTACATACACCGTTCCTGGAAATCAAGACATTCTGTTTTTAATATACACGGGCACCAAGCATAAAAATTCCTTGACAAACAATTAAAAAAAAAACAGAGCTAAAGTGGCTCAGGTAAGCGTTGTTCTCCGATTGCCCTTGGGCCTCTTGTTTTAAATTATGAGTGACGGGGTTGTGGATGATCGAAATTTTATATAATGCAGAGGAAAAAGTGGGACCATGTTAATTTTTATTAAAAATGATATTGAAGCATCCTAATGTTGTGTGGATTCAACTTTGATTAAATCATAGCTCTCTTAGGGCTAGATGTTGATCCACTATATGGGGAGAACTGCTTATGAAGAACAACAAGACCAAAAGTGACACAGGTGAGCGTTGTGGCCCATGGACCTAATGTTTGTTTAAATATTTTTAAATCTTTTCTATCAATTCTGAAAATAATTTATTTACCGATATTTAGAGATACCAATATATACTCCCTTTTAGATGAACCCTTTTTAGAATGATTTTTATATTCGGTCCCAGGCCCGTAAAACGCAGGGGGGGGGGACAGGGGGACCCGGCCCCCACTTTTTCCGAGTATAGCATTCTGCTATATTAAATTTTCCTTTACATGCTGGTTGCCCCTCCCCCCATACACACACACTTTGTTGCAGTAAGGTCGAGCACAAGCAAAATCTGGGATTTGGTCGGTTAATTTTTCTTTTTTTTTTTGCTTGTCAGATTATTTTGGGAAGCCCCCAACCCCACCCCACACTTTTGAATCCGTTCCTACGCGTCTGGGTCCCATGTAACCATTTTGGGTTGGGGGTGACAATGGGAACATATTCAAACTGCCTTAATAAAAATATTTAGTTAACTTTCAATAGCCTGTTAAGGATAGAATCAAACAAAATTTGATTTGATTCCCATTTAATTTAATAGTCCATTTACCTTTTTCTTTGAGGGCTTCGTCAATGAAGTCTGCAGCGGAGTGGAAGAACTGATTGATAGGAAAACGTGCGGTATCTAGGGCCTTAATCCCCAGAAACATAATATCTGTCCCGGAGAAATATTCCTCGTCAGTGTTTATCTGATTAAACTTGTTCCCCTGAGCACAGTTTACTATGTGGGTTACACGCTTTCTTTTTAGTTCCTCTACATTTTTTGCTATGTAACTAAAAACAAACAAGAACTGATTAATTTATAATGAAACGTAAGGATTACAATTATTCGTCACCACGATACCGAAATATGCACTATTTGGCATTTATAATATAATGATACACATATGCATGTATGTACATAAATATATTACTTACTAGTTGCCTAACAGAATCCCAGGATAAACCTCATTGAAATTATCCTTGGGTGTTGGCGGAAGGAACGCCCACGGTGAAGGATGCGCGCCCGCGGGAGGTGATTTTTTCGTGGATCCGCCACAGTCGTTTTGTCTACTGTTCAGGTAATTCTTAACCTCGTCGTACATGTTAAACAGAGAGTCAGAAGATTTGTAACTGAAGTCAGACGTTCATTCTAATATAAGATCCATTTTCATGTCATTGCTATAAATAATTCATGTGGTTTGTTTACAGGATCGTCCTGGTAAACAAAGGTGAAGCAAGACGGATAACTCTAATCCAATCCACTGACCCCGGCCCTGCTAGTAATAATCCGTTGGTAAAAACAAACAAACAAAAAAATTAGAGCATTTTACGTAGAACAGCAATGAATATTCATTTTTGGATTTCATTCGATTTTTTTTTCAAATTATTTAAATTTATTCTATATTTTTTTCTGATATTGTATTTCGATGACTTGTTAGTGATAGTCTTCATAATACGTTTGCATACATCATCCAGTGGTACGTTTGGGTTATGGTCGTGTAATTGATTTTTTTTTCACTATGTTTAAAAAGAAGAGAAGATTGCGTTTTCCCCTATCTTTTTTTTCGGGTGGAGGGGGGGGGGGGGGTTCTAGTGAATCTGGGCGTTTAATGAATGTCTGACCACTCTGGGCGTTTAATGGATAGTGCACTTTACGTACGACGTGTAAAAGGCAGGTCACTGGTCAACGATTTTGACCCTGAGCTGCCATACGGGTTATCAGTGTTTCACAAAGACCGAGGGCGCTTTTGATTGGCATTCGGCAGGAATCTGGGCGCACTTGAAAAGTGAAAATTTCATTGATCTGTCACATTAAATTTTAGCATTCTTTTCATGTATCGGATTCCTGTGAAATAGGAAAGGGAAATATTTTCCCGATATTGCATTTTGATTTGCTAAAAAAGAACTTGAAAATTGGCTAGATTAGTCATTTGGTACAAAATGTTACATTTTTAAACGTTTTTCTTAAAATTTGCTATCTCTGGGTCATCTCTCCATGATTTTGAAACGTTATTTGTGTGCATTTTAATTCAAAGAAACTAACAAACATTTGTAAAAAAAAAAAAAAAAAAAAAAAAAAATGGAGAGAAAACCCAGAGACGATAAAAATTGAACTTTTCCCAAAATAAATTCCAATGTGTAAATGCGGTGCTTCATTGTCGCTTTAAAAACCATAAAGTGCATGTAGCGGTGATAGCTTAGTAGTATATATGCGTTACCCCGTCCAGTGCAATGAAAAAGAAATATTTTTGGTTCGATCCTCGCATGGAGCGTTAATATTTTTTTTTAGTACAAACAATCAATTCTTTTGTCAGTTTAATTATATGTACTTATTTATTTTCAAATAGATAAATTCTGGTTCTGTTGCACCGAAAGCGAAAGCAATTCTTCCAACCTACTGATACTTTAATACATGTATATACATGTACTTGCATTTAACTATACCCTATATGTGTTTATTATCGGCCGCAACAGCGTGGTTGTGATAGAATGTGAACATGGGGAAATTAGACGTTATTTTTCCATTGCTTCATTGGAATAATTCCTGATTGATAACATACATAAAAGTTATGAATAAAAGTTTTAAAAATTGTCTTAATACTAAGTCTTATTGGTTGTTTTTATGTTACAATTTGTTTTTCATCTCTCTTCAGATATTTATTAATTTAATGATTTTACAAAAAATTGTTTCATGAACTGCTCCCCAACATGGGCGTGCGTAAGGTATAAAAACAAAGTCTGCTGAGTTTCCGGGTATGAATTATACAGTGCCTAAAATAATAAATAAATTGGAATAAGAACTGGATTTTGCTTTTAATACACTGCAGTTGCAAGTGATACAATGAAACATTTTTTCTGCGCTTCTTTCACAACACTGAACGGCATCATCACGTGACAAATCCAGGGTATCAGCACGTGAAGTTAATGTCAATTTTTCCTTTTTTGCCAGCATTCAGACATTCATAATCAATTATTTTAGATATTTGTTGCCTTCGTCCTTGCATCAAATAATTTGATGATAATTATAATTTTATCCTTTATCTCAGTCTGACTTTCATATCAATGAATTTATTTCTTTGGATAAATATTGATCACTGAAAATTACAGCGTAAAATGCACAGAAAAGTACAGCAAGTGTAAAAATGTTTCATATACTTTTTCTGATGCTTTGCTTCAATTTATAAATTAACTTGTTATTTATGTGAAGCGTTACTAAGTTTTACATGTAGTAATTATTAAGATTAGGGGAGTGATATATTAAATTTGACAAAGTATTTCAAATTAAATGTAACATTTTTCCATGTGCGTAACTTTGTAAAGTATGTCCAGCTGTGGTCAACATCATAAACATTTAAACTATAAATGTTTCTTACGCCTTATTCCTGCAGATCACACGCCAAACACGCCCATCTTCTTTTCTTTTATTCTTAGAGACAAACTAGAAAGAAATGACTTATTTGAAGAAACGCACAATTGCTACCCACCTTGATATAAGGAAGAATGAATTTTCTTATATTTCAGCCTAGTAAAACGGGACACTTTTTAAAAAAAAATCATTAATTTATTTTAAAAAAATTTTGACGAAAAAAAAAGATTTGTTCATAAGAGTTGTCTTTCTTCCATCGTGATTGCAATGTGTCTATATTCTCTCTCTCACTCTCTCTCTCTCACTCTCTCTCTCTCTCTCTCTCTCGTTTACTGTAGTCAATACTAGGGGGGGGGGGGCTTTTTTGAAAATTTCCAACTTTGGTTGATACTTGATAATTTAGACCCTGGAGTTAAGGACATATGCAACGTAGTTTGAACTTTATTGTCTTTTTCACTGGAGTTGAAGAGGTCCAATACTTAAAGGAACTGTGTGCTACATTTTGATGTCTATATATGCTGTTGTACACTTCTTCTAAAACACGTTTGGATAAACAGAACATTTAGAATATATGTTCAGTAATTTTTGTATATTTTTCTTTGAATTATTCACGAATTTTCATCAATTGATATCTTTTCATAACCCCTGGTAATGCATGCTGATATTTTGTCTATATATACGAACATCTGATTGCACTATAGTCTTAAATTAAGAATATCTCGAAAAATTATCAGTAGGTAAGGTAAGTAGCGTATGTCCTTAAAGTGCTGAAATACATGTATCTATAGAACGCGAAAGTCATTTTGTGAACACTGTAGAAAAAGTTATTTGAATATACATTTTAAAACATATATTCAAATCCACATCTCCAATACACCGCAAAAGTTTTGTACGTTGTTCCGGAGAAATTCTTGGTTTTTGAAGAAAACAGAACTCGTAAATGTACGCACTGTTTTCACGTTGGGTAAAATAATTGGATTTGCGAGAACAATTTAAGTTTGGTATACGTATAAGTTTGTTAAAAGCTATTTTCTCAATAGCATCAATTTGGACAAGGATATCGAAATATCGTGCATTCAGGTTTCAGAAAAGCTTGGCTGTTCGGCAAGTTCCGCCTATTCGTTGCCGGGTGCCGTGTATGGTCATTCGAGACTTTTCATAATAAATATTCATGAAGTCAACATGCTCGAGTTTAAAATTCCACTAATTCCTTATTTGTGTCTGTACATGTAATAATACATGGTTTTTTAAGCTTTCACCAATATTAATTTTTCAAATTAAAATTAATGCACGGCTATATATTCTTCAAAAAAATGTATAAAACTGTATAATTAATGAACGAAAATATTACACATACATGTACTTTATATCTAGCCATAAAGTTGTCATTTTAACTGACTTAATTTTCCCACTTCCCATGAGATCTGAGGTTTTATATTTTGTTTTTATCAGAATCACCAAACATGAAGAAGAAAAAGGTGAAAATAACGAACTTTAAATCTCACAAATCCTGTACACAATACGAAACGTGAACTGGGCAAAAACAATAGGACTGGTCTCTGGAAACAATAGAGGCGGGGTGAGGTGCCCAGGAGAAGAAAGCAACCCCTGTCGACCTGTCACACCTGCGTGAGTCATCTAAATTGATCAGGTAAACGGAATAATCCGTATATGGTATGTAAACAACGATCTAACATGAAAGACCAAAAAAAAAAAAAAACTAAATCAAAATATCGGAAGTACATAGAGCTGGGGTGAGCTGGGCTCATTGTATGAAGCAAGATGTGACTGTTAGCGCTCTAGATCACGAGCTATTGCAACTACGTTAGTCTTTTTTTGCTAGCGCTCTAGGGTTATAGCAACTACGTTAGTCTTTTTTGTTGTTAGCGCTCTAGAGTTATAGCAACTACGTTAGTCTTTTTTTGCTAGCGCTCTAGGGTTATAGCAACTACATTAGTCCTTTTTTTTTTTGTTAGCGCTCTAGGGTTATAGCAACTACGTTAGTCTCTTTTTGTTAGCGCTCTAGAGTTATAGCAACTACGTTAGTCTTTTTTACTGCATGGTATATGTATGTTCGACTTCACGGTAGGACGTTCAGGGAATAATACTGTAGGTAAATTGTACCATGTCAATTTTGTTTTATAATCTGAAAATACCTATGATCTGAAGTTTCGTGTTTTGTCGTCTAACCTGTACATAAATGTACAAAAAGTACCTGTAACTTGGGTCTTAAAATGCTAAGACTGTGGAGATCAGTTATTTCTTAAATTATAATAAATTCCAATCTTTTCTCAACTACCTTCCTGGACCTCTACGGCAAGCTCGGAAAAAAAAAACAACCTCGAATATTTTTCCGAGATTGTCGGAACCCGAGAGGATGCGGTTGCTTCAAAACAGTACCACACTAAAATATTTTGTACTAGGTGCTCATTGGTTCTATTGATCTCTTATTTTTCACATCAAAATTGAAATTACAGTAAACTACAGAATGCTTAAAACACAATTAATGCCATTGTGAAGCCCAGTCTAGATTCACCATTCTGAATTGAGACACCCACCAACACTACCCCCAGTGCACCACTGTGCCTTCCTATTAATGATTAATCGATTCAGTAATTCAGATATCTACATCTGTGTCTTATGATGGCTATAGCGCTAGCTTACCTGTCTTTTTAAAAGATTAGCTTTTACTGAAATACGCATGCTCAACTTCATGGTACTGTAGATCATTCTGTGAATAATACTGTACCATATCGATTTTGTTTTATCCTCTGAAAAATATATATGATCTGAAGTTTCGTTCTTTTGTTGTGT